TGGTGTGTCGGGCTCAGGATAAAGCTGGCCAGCAGCTTGGGAGCTTCGTGGTGCTCTCAGGAGGAAACCACTCCAGCCTTGGGGAACAGCTGGACCCCTCCGAGACACCTCCCACCCCGGACTTCTGCAGGGGCTACTTTGACGTGATGGGCCAGTGGGACCCCCCCTTTAACTGCAGCTCGGGGGAGTTCATCTTCTGCTGCGGTACTTGTGGCTTCAGGTTTTGCTGCAAGTTCAAGAAGACGAGGCTGGATCAAAGCACCTGCACAAACTATGAGACGCCTTTGTGGATGAACACTGGGAAGCCTCCTTCCCGCATAGACGACCCTCTGCACGACCCTACCAGGGATAAAACCAACCTCATTGTCTACATCATCTGTGGGGTTGTAGCAGTCATGGTGCTGGTGGGGATCTTCACCAAACTAGGGCTGGAGAAGGCACACAGACCCCAGCGGGAGCACATGTCCAGGTAAGGCTGAGTGCCAGGCAGCAGTGTCTCCTTCCCCCCCCCACCTCTCCCCTACTCCTAAAGAGGACAGAGGAGCCCGTATGTTTCTGCTAAACAAACAACTCTTGCCAGGCAGGCTGCATTCCCCTGCAAGGCAACCGAGAGAGACCAACTTTGGTGAGCAGAGCTCCTGTGGTTCCCCAAGCTCAGATATCAAAGTACATGCATATTGAGGAAGACTAGAAATAGTTGTGAGTCTGCACAGACAGTAGTCCATTTTTATCTGCAGTGTCTGACCCACTCCCCAGCAAGATTCAGCAAGTGTTCCCGAATATACTGTGCATGAATAGAAAAACAAAACAAAACAAAATCCTGAAACCAGCAACACTGAATTATAGAAAGCCTCATGCGTTCCCTCTTCCAACTGTTTCAAAGCTCGGAAAATGTTTTTTCTTCTCAACAAAAGGATGTAAACAAATGTCATCGCATCCTCCCTCTCCAGCTGCAAAATGTTTTTTGCAGGACCTTCTCTAGTCCCCCAACCCTTGCTAGTGTGTAAGCTATTTGTAAAATTTCTAAGCTGTGAAAATGACCCAGCGTGGTAGGAAAGAGGGAGACACACAAAGGAAAAGCTGTTGTAGAATTTCTTAACATTATTTTCAGTTACTGTTGAGAGGTAAAAAATGGAATATGAAAGTCTTGTCTCATCCATATGTGTGTGTGTTATACATTACCCACAGTGTAATGGCTGAATTGTATCAAAGAGAACCTCCCCCACCTAGAGTTGGGCATGCTGTGTACCATCTACTCCAGGTGCTGGCTGCCTAGTGATACATAGGCAGGTGGGCAACTCAGAACAGAGCCCAGTGACTTTAACAACATATTCCAAACGCTGATTGTCAGAACAGTTCCAAATCAAGGCATAACACATTTGTCAAGTTTGCAGTCTGTCTGATTCTTTAAGTTAATCCCAGGCACATGAAAGTAAAGCAGATGGGGGAAAGACATTAAGAAAGGCAAACAGCTATATTAAAGGTTCTAAATAGATTCCAGCATATTGGTCAGTTTTAGTGATGAAATGCAATGAAAACGGTGTCTTCTACTGCACATGCACTGTGGCAGAAGGCTTCCTCCTGCCCTGACTGGTAGTCGTGTAGTTCACAATCTTTAAAGCTTAGGATGAAGAGTCATTCTTTGAAAGATAGTCCAAGAGATCAACTCAACACCTGGAGTGTTATTTTTTTACTGAAGTTTCCGCATGACTTTTTGATTAACTGATACCCTGAAATGAACAGAGAAAGCCACAAAAATACTCCTGCAAATGCATCACCAGTTCACCAGCAATTATTTGCTATTTATAAACTCGCTGATATGGGTACGTTTTTAATAATGAGAAACAAAGCATATTGCAGAAATTTTAGTGTGTGTCAGTGATACTTCTGCAAAGGGTTTTTTTGTTGAGCAGGGTATAATAACCCTTTAGACATTTTGAATATTCTTAGCTTCTAAATTCAGAAAAGAATGCATGGGTCCCAATTTCTTTTTTAAACTACAGATCTTGTTTGGGAAAAGCTCTCCCTTTCTTCAGCCTCCTTCTGTAGCGTCTTCATGCAGGCAAAAAGGCAGGGCTCATAATAGTTACAAAAACCAGGACAGAGTGAAGTTGTAGCCATCCCTGCTTATATATGGCTTAAATAGCAAATATTTCTACTAGCAGAAATAAGACCTATCTAAAGTACAGGTGTGAAGTATTCTGAAAGGATGTTCTTAGTTTGTGGAAATAGAAATATAGGGGATTGGAAAATCATTCTGAAATCCTTCAGTCATGTATGCATAAAGATTAGGTTTCTGAAGTGGTTCTTAGGAAAGGTCGTCTGTTGCCCTGCTTACTTAACAGTGTCTGAGATCCTGTACTTTTCTTACCATGAAAATGTTCAAGTCAGGATTATATAGAAACTTGGAAAGTCATGATCACATGGAAAAACAGTCACCCACTCAGTACACATAATAGCTAGTCATGTTCTGAAAAAGTAGCACTAGAGCTTTTTTTTCTTTTAAAAAAAGTTCTCACACTCCTGTTACAGCTGTGGAGTGGGCTTACCATTAATTTGAAAAGTAATTAGATTTGTAAATCCCTTTGACAATTAAAAAGTCTCTTCATTGAGTGAAGTATTGAAGTAACCTCTTTGTCCTCGAATGTGTGTTTAACTAAAATATTATATCCTAGCTCACTTTACACTAGTAATGGTCTGAAAAAAAGCTGCAATGTTTAAGGAATAATTAATTTAATTGTTTAAACAGTTAACAGTACCAGCAATTATAATAACATGTGGTCTATATTCATATTCACCTTCTTTTATAACACTCATCACTACAATATCAAAAAAAACAAACCCCAAAAGAACACTTCTCGTGTTTTGTTTTCTGTACTGAAATTTATTAATAAGCAGAAGTAGAATGCCTTGAGAGTGTTAGGTAGGCCAAACCAAGAGTACTAAGTGTTACTCCATTTTGGCTGGCAGCAAGAAACACACAGAGGCTGATTTGTCATCTGTTTCCTTAGCTAAGATTGTCTCCTTTCCCTTCCCTAGCCAATGGCTGCATGGAACACTTGCATCCTCTCCACTCCTGTGAATAAATCCACCTATGCAAGGGATGGCACTGCTTATCAAAAAAGACAATGCAGCAAGTAAACTGATTTTTATGAGGGCTTATTTTTAAAAGAAAAAAATACAACTGGTGTAAATTATATATTTCCATTATTTTGATTTACTAAAAATATTTAAAAATATGAACAGAGACCTGATGCCTGGGAATATGAACACTGACTTATAAATAGGAAGCAACACTGTGCCACACATTGATTTCTTGCAGATTTTCATCGTGCAGTCAGTGGATTTGCTGTTGAAGTAAGACACTGGTATGTGCAAGAGTGGTACAATGTCAATAAAGGAAACTTCACAGGCGTGGCGAGCCCAGTTTCTCTACGCTTACCTCTGATTACATTTTGTTTACTACTTTACCAAAGCAAACCAGGAATACTCCATTAATTTCACTGAATTTTCCTGAAATATTTGGCAATGAAAAAATATCAGGGAAATGCATTTATTTAGTGAAAACAATTCACAGAAAACATCTCTATTGGGCAAGTACTTTTAGGAAAAATGAACAAAAATTTGCCCGTTTTTAGAGAGTTTGTAACTTTGTTTTGTTTTGAGAAAAAGGCCAAGTTGACATTTTCTTTCTTGTCAGATCGGTGCTTTTCAGTAAAACACTCCTACTGTTGGCATGGAACTGTAACTCTGGAAGTTGAAAACCGAGAGGGAAGTACAGTATTAACCCTACTTGGCATATTTTGCTCTAGACATCATATGGTAATGTTTTGTTTATATAACTCTCCTAATTTTAGCATTTGTTAGTTGACATTGAAAGAAGCTAAATGTTCCCTTTAGCTATTGTCCAAGAACTAAGCAGTAATAGTAGCACCCGGACAGAGTAACTCATCCTTTCCCCTCCTGCTGTCTAAGAGAACGTGGCAGTAAGCTGGTGTACGTCATAAGGCATGGCAAAGGGAATGAACGTGGCAATGTTATGCCTAAGAAGAAACAGAACTGATCCACCTCCTGGAGGAGACCTAAAAGCTCTGTTAAGGCATATGAGGGCAGCATGTTCTTGCTGCTGAAGACTACATCAACAGGACTTCTAGGCTTCGTCAGTTAAAGTAGAGAATCTTTTCTTGAAAATGAGCAGAAAAGGGAAAAGCTTTACTTCTGTTTCGTGGAGGATATTTTTTTGTAAGTAAAATCATACCTTTGTCTTCTTCCCTAATCCTTGTGAAGAATGTGCAGACAAACCAAGAACTGGAAGGACAATATTTACAATCGTGCTCGTACGCTGCAGCTCCTGTCTTTCTGAAGCAGTGCTTCTGACAGTATGTTAGCAGCCTTCCAAATATGGTGAACCACCTGAGCTCTTGTTTCTTCCTTCACAATGTGCTGAGCTCCTGAGTTAAGTCTTTTGTTGATCATTCAAAAGGTGTGTACCTGGGGCCCAAAATAGTCCTGAATCCTATGTGTGAAATTATCTCCCTTATGGGTTTTGACCCAGTTTTGGAGGCAAAATATGACAAGTGACCTTTCATGAAATAACCTGTGTTTCAGCTTCTACAAGCTTGTACTCATAAGGGAAAAGCTCCCCGTGCTTTATAACACCCAAACAGGATTATATATCCAAAGAGAAAATCTTATGGCAAGAGAAATGCTAAAGTTTTGTGATACTTGGGTAGTTCTAGGCCATGAACTCCTATGTACGTGACATGTCTCCACTTCTGTAGTACTGCAGTCAATACACAGGACCTAATGATATCGCTACCTGATTTGAATGTTATCTTGTATTTTATATTTCTTTAAAAAATCATTCAGTATAGCAAAGGTGTAAATAAAGACCCTCTATGTATATGTAATTTTTCAACAGGACTCCCTCTAACAGTTTCTTCTAATAATGAACTAAATCTATATGGTGGTATTCAGGTGAGACAAATGCATGGAAGTATTATAACAGTCTGTTGGTTCATGTAGAATTTTTCAAAGCAAACATCTATTCAAGGGTTTTGTTGTGTACTGGGGCACAAACCTCCCTTTACCCATTCAAGTATATCCCTAAAAGAACAAAATGAAGGTACAGCATTTCCTTTGCACTTCAGTGATACAAGCTTCTACACATTTTTAACTCTCCCTGACATCAGTGGAAGGTAAGGAGGAGCTCTTATATGAGCTGTTCTGCCCTGAGAAGATTGTACAACTTTGGCTAGCACAGCATAAACACAGTTGATGTGTTGTTAAAAACAGACCCTGATGGTGAGTAGTTTCTTTTTTCCCGATACAGTGGGAGTTGCCCAGCTAATTCCTTAAAGCCCCTTCGAAAAAAGCCACCCTAAAATGGTAGAAAAGTTAGTTGGCAATTTCACAGACAGGCAGTAGTTAATCTGCTATCACATAGGGTGTTATTTAAAGTCTACAGTGAACAATATTTACCATCAGATTAAGGGCAATGAGGAAAGCATTTCTGAAAACCTGCTCTCACAAAGTTGGGAAATACTAATCCATGTATTACGAGATCTCACAGTTTGAACTCCCACATTGAAGTTGGGAACTTTCATTTGCTTTTCTTCCCTTCTCAGAAATGTGTCCAGCTGCCTCTGGAGTTGAAATTAATATTGATGTCAATAATTTCCTTTGTATAGAGACATATTTGCATAAATTGACTTGATATTAATGGTTTTGGTCCTCACTTATTTTAAACTATATTTTGCAGTATAATACTTTCCTTTTGCATCATTTTCTACCTACCTTTGTGAGATCTCTTCTATTGAATTTTTATTATTCTGCTATGTAGGCCAGCTCTGCTATTTCTGCTTTATAAGCATTACTTCAAATGGGAGCATTGCTCTGATACCATTAATCAGTTGGTTACTGTCTTCTGATCTTCTACAGTATCAACAGAGTATTCTGTAACGTGTTGATCACAACTATAACTAGTATTTTAATAACATAATCCTAGCCATAAAGGCAGTGAAACTTCAGTATTGTTCAGCTGTGTACCAAAGCAATGTTCCTACAATCTGAAGGCAAGATCCAGCTCAGGATTTCTCTCTGTCTGTAACTTAAATGAAGCTACTTTTTAATATTTAAAAGAACAGTGCTTCTTGATCAAGAAATCGTCGTGTCGCAGAAGCACAGTGGAGGAGCTAGATGGCACTTGCCATGGCTTTCACCAGTGAATGTGATTATTTTTATTTATTTATTAGTTTATAAACTAGTCTTTCTTGTTGCAGTATCTGGGACACTGTATATAATTTTGCAGAAAATTAAACTAAACTGGGCACAGTGCCCAGAAAATGCATTCATTCCCTTAAAAAAAAGGCTCAAGGGCTCTAAAAGTTAAAACTAGTAAAACAAAAAGGAGGCAAATAACGGTCAGTAACGCATTGACCTGAATAGAAAGACTTGCCTTGAACCCTGAAGACACTAGTAACACATACCACAGCTTTCCTTTGCCTAAGGCAACAGCTTCTGCAGGTGGCTCAATTATTTTGTCTGGCACAGGAGCTCAGCAGGTAGCTATATGGCATATACCTAAGGGCTAATCCTGCTCCTGCAGAAATCAGTGGTAAAACTCTGTAGCCCAGAATCACAGACAGAGTTAGATGTTGCCATGCTGAGTGTTTAAGAGCTTAAAACTGAGTCACTAATTCTGGATCCACAGGGCTGAGATAGGTGTGTGTGCTTATCTGTATGCCTAGGAATGGACATGCACTCAGTGGGACACTCGGCAGTGAAACTGGTTCTTAGAAAATACTCCAGAGTGAGAGGGATGTGTCTCTCTTTCAGATACAGTTATTGCCTGCAGCTCTGCAGAAAAAGTCTACAACCAGCATCAGGTTAGGCCTGATCTAACTGTTAGGAATCCTTTTGCTTCCTACCTCTTTGCTAACATAAAGCTTTCGTCCTCTTTCTGAACTGGCATCAAAGCAGAAAGGAGTGCTCCTGTGCAAGCTTTGCTCCACCTTAAGGACTAGGACACTCACAAAAATTAGAAAAGACATTTTTCAGCTTAAAGTCCTGATCACAAAGAGTGCTATGCCTACTGGGTTTCTGCATGAAAATCATGTGACATTTCACCTTTGGTAAAGTTTTTGAATGAACATGGCCAAGACCACTGCGTTGTGGTGCTCTGTGCAAATGCATGTGTGAAAATCTACTTTGACAGACCCTGCTGGTAGTCTGGGTGTGAAGATAACTACTTTGTGAAAACGACGGGCAGAGGCTAGGTGCTGAGGTGCTCAGCTTAACCAATTTGGCAGTGCTACCGAGCACATGCAATGGCAGAACTCTACAAGTCTCAATTAGCTTAAATTAGGTTCCTACAAAGCCAAGACAGCTAAAGAACTAAATGTGTTTCTGTGTATTACAGCTAACACACTGTCTAAGACACCTAAAAAGAGCCTTAGGTGGGAAGTCTCACAATTAAACTGATTCTCTGATTTTGCTGTGAATGGAGCTGGTTTTTCCAGCAGACATTACAATGGACTGTATCTCAGACTAAAAAAACTTTGGAATATATTGGTAATGCCTTATGGATTTTGCAGGTTCATTCTGATTTTGTTTGGTTTTCAGGGCTCTTGCTGATGTTATGCGACCTCAAGGTCCTTGTACAACAGATCACATGGAAAGAGATCTAAACATTGTAGTACATGTGCAACATTATGAAAACATGGAGACAAGACCTCCCCCAAATAATTTACGTAAGTTGCATTATAACTTTATCAATACTGGGGATGCTGACACTAAAATGAACGTTATGAAACAAATATTGCTGGATGTCAAATGAAGTTCTGTAGCTTTGTCTCCTTCTACCCGGTGTTTTTGCTCAGCTCACCAAGCTATGCGTTTTCCTATGTTTTGTTATACCCAAAACAAATAGTTAAGCTTACAGCAAGGTTTAACAAGGTGTTCCATAGGGCTGTAACATCCAAGAGGAGAGTGGTCTCGTCATGCTGTTGTATCATCTTCACTAGTGAAATAGTTAAATATTTTCCTGGAGAGCATATGATTGTATGTGGGTTTCACTTTATTTTTATTTTTTTTTTAATTTTCTCTCTCTAAGGGAAACAGAAGAGGAAGATTAATTTTTTAAGTTTTAAATAATATTTTTATTCTGTATCTGCTGTTATGTGTTTATGTTGTTGAAGGCAGGGAAAAAGTGCACCTTGGAGCTTCAGAGGAAATATGGTGACATTTCAAGTGGTTCTGAAGTCCTTATTTTTCAGACTTGTGTGAGACCACAGTGTAGATCTTTCTCATGCTCGTTTACATTTTCCTTTTGTGATGGACAGTTCCACTGCAACTTTAATTTGATATATATTTACTTCACATTAATCCGTATCTTAAATATATGCATATATAAATATATATAAGTGCATAAAAATTACTGATAATACATTTACAAATTCAAGTTCAATATGCATAAAAGAAAAGGGTATTTATTCAGGAAGGTTTAGATTGTTAGGCAGTGGATGGCTTTATTCTGTGCTGTAGATCAACACAGATGTGCATTTTACTGCAAATGCACTTTTACTGCATTGGTATTTGGATTTTGAAACGTTTAAAGTACATTCACTGGAGTTTTCCTTATGTTTCTGTAACTATAGAAAGCAGAAAATTTGCTTATATTTGAACAAAGATTAAGCTTTATTTGGACTGCACTGTACAGTTATTGTGAGATTTTACTGCTTTCTTTTTGGGGAGAGGTATAAAAACAGTGAGGAAAAAAAGATACATATGCTGCTTGCACTTCTGATACTTGTGGTAGAGGCTGACTGTGACTTCTTATGCGCTTCGTTACAGAGTAATAGGAGAGAATTAAAGCTGTGACCTCTAATAAGGATACCACATATAGTGAAGTGTGACACCTAATCTGTCTGCACTACTCTCCAGTAAAGTGCTTCCACCTGGGAAGGGGGAAGCACATACACACTGCAGCATTACATCCTCAGTTGTATAAAAACACACCACTTCTGGAGGGGAACTTATGCTTCTTTCTCAATCAAAGGTGCTCTAGCCCCCTGCAGCTGAGGTGGTGAACTTCTGGAGGTTTAAGAATGATGAAATCTCTCTTTGTTCTGTGTATTAGCTCTTTGCTGATCTCTGATCCTTCCTGTGACCATGTTTTCAAGAAAAAAGATGCCAAATGGTAATGAAGTTAGAGTACAATCCTTATTTTCTCTCATATGTGAAATATTTATTCAGAGTCCCAGTTAATGAAGGAGCCAGAAGGTAAATAGATTCTTACTGCATTGATTGCATCTAGATTTTTGTATTCATCACACTGAGATATTTTCCTTAAAACTCTTTGTATACTACAACATACAACATAACACAGCAGGTCTTTAAACTCACTGTTTCTTGGATTTGAATTCAGATTTAAGCCTCGCTTCTATAAACTCTTGCATAGAAATGCAACTCAGAGCCACATAGTTACTGCATCAAGGAAATAAAAAGAAAAAGATACATTTACTAGTACCTTAGGATCTTGGCTTACGTTGACCCCAGACATGCATACCACCTCTGTCTCAGAATCTGGCCCTCTAGCACAGATGGAAGAATTATAAGCGAACCAGCTCTTGCACCACTGCAATTTACAGCATAGAAGCACTACGGCTGCTTTGAAGCTATCTTAATCCATTGGGTAATGAATCAGGGCTGTTCCAAGGCTGCTTCACATGTAGCTCAGGTGTTCCTGCTATGGATGGAAACCTCAGAAGCAAGCAGCTATGAGGGTGACTGTTGCAGTCTTTAATCAACTTTATAGATTAAGTCAATAATTTTAGATTGTTTGATGCAGACCTTCAAGTAGTGAAATTATTCACGGCATTCTATAACTGCTATTACATAAATTTACTTCATAGCAGGTAGATTATTATTCTATATTTGTTATTATATTCCCTCATAAACTCATCTAAAACATGACTAAATTACCTACTGGAATTATTCAGAACATCACAAATGATCAAAGTCTGTTGAGAGCGCGTGTGTTTATGGTGCCAAAAATATTTATAAAGAAAAATTGTTAAGACAAATTTTTCAAGTCCGTTATATTAGTAACTTGAGATTTTATAGTGGAGTTCTGAAACGCTTGAGAGTAGATATTACTTGTCAAAACTTTGGGAGTGCAGTACTACCTACTACTAGTGCTAGACAAGTGATAGACTTTTGGGGGGTATTTTTACAAGCAAATAAACCAGAGTGAATTACAGCTTTCATAGAAATTCTATTCCAGACCTTTACTCATACAGGTAAAATGTAATGGTACAGAATTATAACGTCAGACACTTTGTTGTGTATTTTTTAAGTTTTCTTTTCTAAGTTACCCCTTTCTATCTACTAGACATCTCAAAATGAGACTTAAAAATTTGAGACTAATGTGCTCTTCATGTTGGTCCGTGTTGGAGAAGGCAGGAGAAATTTCTGACATTACCTTTTCTGAATTGTGTCTTTTGGAATACTGAAGACAAACTACTGAGGGCCAAACATGAATAAAAATGTTCTAATTTGAATGTTCACTGCTGCCAACCCATTTGGAAAGTGTTTTACGAAGGGAAGCTCTATCAAAAGGACAAACTTTGCATGATCTCTGTCACTGAAAATGAGCGTGCTTGTGTTTCTGGACTGTTTGTTACCAAAGGACAAGGATTTTCTAAGTAGCCTGCAGCTACTGCAGCCACAAGTAGAGTGCTCTCCTCAGCAACTTGCAGTTCGCTCAGTTTCTTCCCTCTTCTTTTCTGATATTCAGAAAAGGACAGACACACTGGAGGTTCTAGAGAGACACAGGTTTCTTTTCTTTGCCCATGTGAATCCAGACAACTTAGTTGCTTTTCAGTAAAAGCTGTTTTGTCCTAGTGGTTCTTAGTTGTAACAATTTTTTTCCAGTACTGTGCTTTACTTAGGATGACTTTTCTGTTATTTCTCTTAATTCATTCACATTAGAATGTAGTGGTGCTTTGTAAACAAGCAGCAGATATCTACCAACAATTAGAGTGTTCGAGTTTTCTGACATGGAATGTTAAATTAAAGATTTTTTTTAACTTTCTATTTATTGTGTTAGGAGTAAACAATTCATTTAACTTGTGGGGATTATAACACCAGTACAGTGGGAGTTAGGAGTATTTGTAGCTACATCCTAATTTCTGAAACATGACTACTGCTATTATTGCTAATTCACCATCTATGATAGGAAAATGAAATAAACACTTAAGTCAGTGCAATCCAGGGCCACTTTCCTAATGATCAGTAAAAGCTCCGTTACTCTCTCTTCAGTAATAACCAGCCTTGCACTAGTGTATTTAAAGCATTTATGGAGATTCCCAAGACAGTGACTCTAAAGGGAACCAAATTCTAGATTATGGAGGTTTTCAGATGAAAAACACTAGCTTTCAGTTAGTTTTCACAAGTGTGGATTATTTCTTCATTTTTAATTTAACATTTAAAATAAAGAAGTGAATTATAAACACACCACTCAAAGAAGCAAGTGTTGCACTGTATCAAATGGCCAATTTTAATACTGGCCAAGGATTTGCAGCACATGTGATTAAAATGAGTTTTTCTCTTCTTAAATATATACAAGGGAATAATGTGTTTGCTGCTGGATTTGATTGCCAGTTGTCCTGGATACTTACTGGCTGCAAATGCTAATGCTGAAAACAAAACACAAGGGTATTTTTTGCAGTTCTCGCATATGAGGAAGTGTTGTGTATTGCGTATTTCTGTGCTTTCCCCCATTGCCGTTGATACAGGCTCAGCCTCTGTTTTCCAGTGAGAGAAACTTTCATCGGTTCGACACCGTGAAAATGCAGTTAGAATTTGCAATAATGTTTTTGCAGTCGCTTTCATCCCTAGCGCTTTTTGTTGTTGAATACAGTGACCTTTTGAAAACAAATTATTTTTATGTTTAACATACATAAACATGTTTGTGTCAGACAATTCATTGTTTCACATTGCCTAAATGTAATGCCTACAGTTGCTCATTGCACATAAGCATATAGGCGTATTAAGAAACTTTAGTAATGAGAGGTACTATCCTTTGAAATGCAAGGCTCTTGAAATATATAAAACTTGATAACTAATTTACTTTCACAGTAACTGTTGGACAATGAATTGCATACTATTGAGGAAGCAGCCACCAAGAATGTCCAGGTATTGCTGTGACAAGATGCTTCTAGTGACCAGAGCCTTGAAACTCTACCAAAAACCTTGTTCGGACAGAGGGTTGCAAAATCCAAAGGACTGAGCAAATAATTGTATGTTTGGCCTCATCGGTATTTAGGTTGTTTGATTACAGTAAAATGGTTGGTTTTTTTGGTCTGCCTATATGAGGAATTGGGCCATGTTCGTTATGAACTCTAATTGGCTGTTCACCTCCTCATTTAGAAGGACAAAGTCCAGTCAGAAAAACTGAACTGCACGGACAGGGCTTCAGCCATGGTTTGCAAATGAAAAGAGGAACAGCACTAAAAAGTTTTCAGCCAAGAAAAAGATGGTTGTAGCACAGTGACAGAAGGAGAAATTAAGAAGTACTGCTGATGGAGTGCTCCAAGACAGTGAAGAATGAGGGAGAATAACAAGGCTAGCTTAATCGGAGCAAATAGTTCACAAGAAACTACAGTGCTGTGACAGAGGGGAGGGACTGTAGTCAGTACATACTGGGAATTTGTTGCCATTTCAAGCCTTAGTCTTCACTGCCAGTATG